CTCTATCACCGAATTTAGAACATATACTGCCGAAACGTTGGTGGCCCTCACCAAGTTGGTGGAAGGTTTGCGCCATCTTCCACGGTAGGCCGTTGTCTAACCCCTCTACGAGGAGTCTACACAACGATTCTTCTGATCAGCGTTATCTGGTAGTCTAACTGGTACGATAGTTTTTGACCTTGGGAGAAAAACAATCATATTCAAGCAGTGCGCTTCACTTGATGATGCACCTTCCATAAAGTGTTCTGCCGAACTGCATTTTAAGACTCCCTGCTTGACGTCAATCTCACAATGATGTTCTGTCATGGAGTCCAAGCCCAGAATACAATTGTCCCCTATATCGGCAATAAAAACGTTATGCCGATAAATCTTGGCTAGTTGCAATTCCACCTCCTTCTTGCCTCGGACGAATATGTGATGACTGGTCGCTGTTATAAGACAAATTCGATCATGACCATTGAAGTAGCCCCCACATCCATGATCTTCACTTCAGCTTTGGCAATTCGATCCTCATGCCATAGGACCTGCTCTTCATGGTGCTCAATCTGCTTCTTGATTACTTTTAAATCGCTGCCAATCGTGGCATGCAGTTCTTTCAGTTGACGTGCCTGCTATTCTTGATTTTGCTGTAACTCTTTTTGCATATCTTTCAACTGACTAGTCTGCTCTTGTAACGCTGCCAACAATACGGATAGGTCCAGCTTAGCCGGTGCTGGAGTAGCACCGGATGTGCTGGCAATCATCAATCAATATTTTTTATTCAGGTACAGTATACATACTCGACACTGCGGAGCATGCCGATTGAAATATATACACCACCACTAGAGGGCTTGAACCTGATACAGATGGTATAAAACTTGGCAGTTGGTGAGATTTACTTAATTTTTTAATGTTAAGGCGTCAGATACCTAAAATGAAAGGTTGACGTCTGATCATTTTTAATTGTAAATTTTACCTATTGTTATTCGTTTTTATGAAGTGATTTCTTCAAACCAATGTAAAAGGGTACTTCTATGGTGTATGAAAAAAGGATTAATCGATAGACTCAAAAATTAATTAAATAATTTTTTGTACATAGTCTGAATCTCTAATTGATAATTAGAAGAAAAATATCCTGAGTTTATCATGAAATTGAAATATATACAGTAAAATGACAGTTGTATCGCGGTTACAAAATGTGAAGCAGAGTAAGTAAATGATAACATATTAAAACTAGTAAATACAAAAGTAAATCAAAACGGTACAAATAATAAGATCCAATATACAATGGCTTGTAAAGAACAGATAAAGTAACGTATATACAGTGGGTTTGAGTACAAATTAGTAGAATGAAATACAATAATAAGTACGATATAATACAATAAAATTAAAAATAAAATATAAAATGCAATAAGAGTACAATAATATAATAAAACATAAACAAGACAGTGAAGATAATTATAAAATAAACGCGAGGAAAAAAACAATATATATATACAGGGCAAGTGCAGCAAGAGGCTGCAGAGGTGACAGTGGATTACATAAATGTACAGTACTGTACTTCTCACTCCACTTGGCAGTAATTGCGTCACTCTATGAAACATGAGATGACGGCGACGCGATGGCGCCAAGTGGAGAGCAAGTATTACAGATTAGCTATACTTCTGTTGCAGCTAAAGACTTGTTGCTCGTTCAGTTGACTATGCGATTTATCGCAAGAAGCGGCGAGTAACGATTTGTTTGTAGCGCGAAGGAAAGTCGCTGGTGCGAAAATGACGTAATGAAAGAGCATTTCCGACTGTAATTTTTATAGGAGAACGATGATATCTACGTAGCATACATTTATGCTAAACAGATTAAACGTATTAAATGAATTTTTTTCAACGAAATCTGAAACTTATAAGTTTAATAATATCTGTCAAAAACGACATTAATTTGTCGATAACTCATTACTTATTTTTTATAATTAAATGAAATTGAATTATCGAGAGTGTAAAGCCTTTGTGACGGGCGAATTGCCCTCTAATCGTCGGATCGGTAGGATCCGCTCACTCTGTCGGTGGATGGCTATATAGGAAGAAATAAAGATGTGAGTGGGAACGAAAGTGGCGAGTAAGTTGGATCAGGGTGTGTACAAATTGAATGTGTCATTTACAATCATAAAACATTTAATACATAAACAGCAAAACAGTATAAAGTCTACGAATGAAACGAAATAAGATATAACTGAAATAAACAAGATTCACTTCAATTTAACTCTAAATACTGAACGAGGGCAATTTTACATAGTTTTACGTAATCTGATCTGTGACCTCTATATATAGAGACGAAGGAGGGCTGGATGGTAGCAAGATGGAACTTCTACGCCTGAATGCTGAAGATTCGCCCCTAATTTTTTAGGGGCGAATCTTCGAGTGGCTGCCCTCTTGTATACGATCCTCTTTTCTATGACCGTTGTGGATTATAGTCGTTCCATCTCTACGGCCGTCTTTCCTCTATGGAAGTTTCTGTCGTACATGGTAAGTTCTTTGGAACCATGGACTATCTCAAATAAAGGGAAAATGTACTTTTTCTAAAAAAAAATTATCCCAATCACACTTCGCGATTTGCATCATCTGACGGGATGAACTGGTATCTAACAGGATATTACATCTGACTCAGATAACAGATGTTCTGCAGAGATGTGTGATAAAATATTATAATTATAAAAAGGAAGTTTTACAACCCTTCAACATAGGTCTCTTCCAAATAAGGTGACAAGTGTGTTATTTTAATGTTAAATTATTTACTTTAAATTATTGATTATTTTATCAAATTTCTAACTCATAAAACAAAATAATTCGTTACTCTCGAATCCTCACACCTTACACCACTTCTATTTATTGTGTGGTGGTCTTTACAGCAACGTGCCAAGAATAATTTGTAAAGCGATAAGCAAGTTAATTATTGAACATTTTCAGGAAGGGAAGAAGATTGAGAGATCTCTTCATCTTCAAAGTGTGTTATCAACACATCAAATCGATATGAGCAAACAGCGTTTCCCCTACAAACCCAAAGGGCGTCCACGACGGACTACTACAGAAAATAAAAGGCTAAAGAAGCATTAAAAGAGGAACTTATTTAAAACAGCTGGCATGCATAAAGCCGATCTCTGTTTAAATGTATCGACTGATACTATAAAAAAAAGTATGTAACATTATAGTATAATACATAGACTTCCAAATGATCATTTTATATACATCTTACGAACGTATATTTTTTAAGACTACTAGTTCACTTCCGAGAGAGAAGCTGCTGGTGTTGGAAGGTCAACGCCAGCAATGGACAAACTCCCAATAGGAAGTCGTCGTATAAGTTTTTATACTGTTTCGCCTTCCATATGTTTTATATGATAATCCTTACTGGTAAATAGATTATTTAATTGGTATTTAAGATTAGAAATAGATTAGCATTGCAAATAAGGTTACGTATTGAAAACTGTATACTACAGTTCTTCACAAAATTTTCACTAATGTAAGCTCACCTTATCAAAAGCAAACGAAAAACCTGAAAATATATTACGTGATACAATTGAAAAGAATATTTATGTGTAAATCTTTATGTAATAATACGTAATTTATGCTTAAACATATTAAGATATGTGCATTCTATATACATGGTGTATCAGAATGACGTTTTAAAAATTTGGGGGATTGTAGAGGATGAAATTTTGAATGTTTTGATATCAGGAACCCATAGCCGGAAATGTGATATAAAGTTTTTACAGCACTTTGCACTTTACAGTCGGTATGCTGAATGAAACAGCAGAATACAGTATTTATGACAAGTTTTATTGACAAAACAGTAGAGTACAATCAAACTGTACATCGAATCAGTGGCTGCACTACTTTAGAGTAAATGTACAATGTGATGACCACCAACTTCGTTACATAATGTGCAACGACGAACCATGTCTGTAAGATGCCACGCTCCCCTCTAATGGTATTAAATGCTGTAAAGATGCACTCTGTAAGCTCATGAACTGTTCCTACAGATGTTGCGTACACAAGGGACTTTACATAACCTCAGAGGAAGAAGTCAAGAACAATAACAAGACGTCAATGGACGAAAGGGTAGCTACCAAAGTAAAGGACGGTCAAGCACTTCCTACCGCTGTAGAAACTTTATATTACATTCCCGGATATGGGTTCCCTATATCAAAACGTTCAAAATTTATCCTCTATAATCCCCAAATTTATAAAATGTCATTCTGATACACCCTGTATATTATATCAAGTTAAATATATTACATTATATAATCGAATAATTGTGATATCTACACAATGTTGGGCGGCTAGTTGTAAATCATAATTTGTATATAGTTTGTATATATTTCTGCATAATTTGTAATAGTTGTAAATCATAATCATAAAAAAGTATTTGATTTTTTGTGAGATTTTACTCTTTGATTGAATATTTATCGCAAATATCACATGAAGTTTTTTTGGATATCTCTGTAAGTGTCGATAATTATGTTTTTCGCCAAATATTTACAATAGTTTATATCAAAATGTAGAAAGGATATGTCCAAAACTGAATAGAATTAAATTACAATTCATTAATGAGTTTCAGTAACTGATTCTAAAGTTTCAGTTATTTTTCCTCATAATGAAGGTAAATTTTAATGGTTAAAGGTCGACTGGGTATTGAGAAATAGAAGCAGGTGGTGTGTTATATCTCGTGTGGGGTGGGACTTTTATCTGTTATTAGCATTTACAATAGAAACAAAGAACGTCTTTGTTTCTGTTGTATGCTGGGAGAATGAAAATAAGATTGTAAGAAAAAAATTAAATATTAATTAAATAAATTTCAAATATTATGCATTTATACTTTTAATAAACAACTTAGGGATAAGTTAAACATATGAAAGTATGATTATCAAACGTCACCATTTTAGCTTCCTATCTTAAAGTTGATATATTTGTAAAACCTTATCATTCGGTGTGCTGATAAAATAATGAAGTTTTTATATACATAATTGAAATCTTTATCATTATACATTCGCACTTATTTAGGTAAGAAAATTTTCAATTTATAGTGCCATGTGGAAATACAGTATTTTTAAAAAGAAAATTTTTTATATGTATTTAATAATTTTTCACTTAACATAAGAAAAATTAAATTACATGTGGCAGTTACTGTGCTAAAATTACATTTATATTGATAGGGTATTCTGAAAAGATAGCAATCGTTAATTGTAGAAGTGCTTTTGTGTTAATTAAAAACTTTGCAGATTTAAAATATAACTATATAAACTGTTATGTTTATGACATGAAAATATATAAACATTTTCAACTTCCTGCCTTAGTAGAGTATTATTTATTCCTGTATTAAATGTAAATAAAAAGTATTTTAAAAGTATTATATTCTTCCGTAGAAAATATACCTTGTATTGTACTACATACATCTATAATTAGTAAACCTATAGTTTAACATAAACAAATTGTGCTCTGCTAATATTTAAATCTTATGATTTATATAGTCTCAAATATCTGTTATGGTAGCTGTTTATTCGTTCATACATATATATGTATGATTTATATAGTGCTTTCCGAGATGATGTTGTTCAGATAAGAATTTTATCTCAATAATACAGTTTTAAAAAGTTAGTTTACAATTCTTTTTACTGAAAGAAAATGTAAGCAGAAAATGAGTAGTATTTTATAAATATTTATACAGCATTATACTTGTCTAACATTTGCTAAAGCTCGTTTCGAGTACATTTTGCTCCTGATTAGTTGACACTAGAAAGTGAAGTAGACGACCACAGTGTCTGGGAATGGATTTTTATTACAAGATCTTGTATTCACTGTACACAGTTGGAAATGGGTTTTGGCTAATGTAAGATCATGTTAAATTTTGTTATAGAAAATATCGAGAAAAAAATAATTCGTTTTTCACCAAAGAACACATCTCAGTTGGATAAATATAGTAAAATGAAGTGTCGGATGTTGACAAAACTGTTTCGTATTCTTCAAAATAAAGTTTATCGTGCTAATTAGCGTTTGTATGCTTAATTACAGATATACGATGAACAGTATAGAATATGTCAATAGCTCTATACAAATACTGTTTAGGCTTACACTTATTCATATTGTGTATTCGTGCAGTATGTGCTGCCGTGTTATGACTGAATAGTTGTATATATTGATGTGTGGAGATAGTTTAAAATACTTTTCAATTTAATTATAGTATTTAATTTTATCTCGTTAAATATTTTTTATGAGATTAAATTTGAAATTTTTATTTGTTAATTATATTTTTAATAAATTATTTTACTTTGTTGTATCAAAGCACTCAAGCAAACACTACTGAAATATGTCAGTTGTCATAAGTTAAAATTTAGTTAGTTACATAAAATACATTTTAATATTTATGAAAGTAATAGTAAAGTTCTCATTTTTTATTTTCTAGGTATAAAAATGAAAAATCTACTCATCATTCTAACTATTATATGTTTGTTGCCAGACTACTTTTGTGATATTATTGTACGAACTTCTAGTGGAAATATACGGGGAAAGAAAATAAATGTTTTGAACAACGATATATATGCTTTTTTTGGAGTTCCTTATGCCCTTCCTCCAATTGGTGAGCTCAGATTTCAAAACCCTCGACCATTCTCTGCATGGAACGGAATTTTAAATGCGACTACAATGTCACCTATTTGTATACAAGATCCAAACTTTCCTATATTCGAATGGGTGCCAGACAAACGCAGATATATGAGTGAAGACTGTCTTTACTTAAATGTCTTGGTTCCTGTTCACAAAACAGAAGACAAGCCATTTTCTACAATGGTTTGGATCCACGGAGGTGGATTCGTTACAGGAAGTGCCAATATGGATGCTCATTATGGACGATTTCTTTCTTCCATCGGAAATGTAATTGTCATTAGCTTAAATTATCGATTGGGTATATTTGGATTTTTCAATTTAGGCAACGCTCAAACAACAGGAAATATGGGAATGTTGGATCAAGTTACCGCTTTGAGATGGATTCATGAAAATGTAGAAAACTTCGGTGGTGACAGAAATAAAATTACTCTTTTCGGGTCCAGCGCTGGATCTATATCTGTAACGCATCATATGATATCACCCTTAACAAAGGGCTTATTTAAAAGAGTTATACTTCAAAGTGGAAGCAACTACAGCCCAATGCTTTCCGCTGATCCAATTAATAATATTAGATTAAGTGAAATGATAGTGAAACGCACAGGGTGTGGATCTGACAACGGATCAAGCACTCAAAGAAGCGAGAACGAAGTGATGAACTGTTTACTTAAATTAAAAGCTGAAAAAATAGCAGCTGCGGAAAGATCTTTTATTGATGATAAGCAAATTACTATAACTTTTGTACCAGAAAGAGATGGCTATTTTCTACCCAATGATCCCATTGGTAATATAGAAAAGGGTTTAATACACGATGTTGAAGTCTTGATTGGAAGGGTACCTGACGAAGGTTCGACACTTCTAGCATACTATAAACCAGAAGTTCTCAATCAAGAACATCCAGTGATGACTAAATCAGAAGCTAAGCACAGTTTGAGCAAATATTATAAAATTGATGGTTCCAGTCTTCAATGTGTTGTTGAAGAATATTTAGGAAATTTGTCAGATGGTGATTATTGGGGTATATTTCAACGTGCGCAAGAAGCGATTGGAGACGGTGTATTAACCTGTCCAATAATAGGTTTAACAGAAAAACTGTCTGAGCATCATCGCGTCGTGTATAGTTATATTTTCAATCACGCTCGAATAAATGCTGGCTACAAAAAATGGGAGAGAGTTTGTCACTTTGCAGAAGTATACTTTGTCTTCGGTATGCCATTCATGTATCCGGAAAGTTACACTCCGGAAGAAGAAGAATTTAGTTATCAAGTCATCAAGCTTTGGTCTTCTTTTGCTAAAAATGGGTAAGGAATATTTAAATTAACTAATAATTAACACATTTAATTTAACTAATAATTAGGTAACATTATAACATTCTATAATAAAGTTTGTTACAATGTTTAAATTTTAAATAAACTTAATAATTTGTTTACTTATAATTAAGTTTAGAATTTTACAGTGCTAGAAAGTTTAAAAATGTTAGGTACAGATTATTAAACAAAAGAAAGAATAGTGCAGAAATGTGATGCTAAAAATCACTTAAGGAATTTATCTTAAATAAAAATTTTTATTTAAGATGAAGGGTGCAGTAAATTTTTACAGGTTATTGGGCTGCAAGTTGAAAAATTATAAACCTATACCTTAGCACTGTCTGCCTGTCTGTCTGTCCGTCCTGAATTTGGAAAACGGAGCTAGATAGATAAAAGCAGAGACCGGATTTGGAAACTATAGGTACAGTAAACCCCGATAAACTGTATTCGAACATCTGATACAAAGCGAGAGGTATGTTATTTTAATTCAAATATTTTCCCCCGAAAGAAATAGATTGATGACCTGCATGACTGTATTGCTAACGAGAAGAGTATGATATATAGAGGTACTACACTACTAATTTGAAGTGAAGAGCAACTTATAGTTTACCGAAGGGAATGTTCTTACTGCTTTTCTTTTTGAAGACCATTTCATTATAATTTTACAATTGAATCAACAACGAATTTGTATGAACATATAGCAGACAGTTTTTCCCGAATACTATCGTCCAAGAGTAAGTTCTTAATTTGACCAACTGCAGCAGAATCAGAATCTTTTATATGCAGAGCTGCAGAGCAAATTCTTTGATTTTTTGAAAATTTTCGTAAAAGAAAATATCAACTATTATAATTAAATAAAAAGATCCTCCTTTCACTACTGTGACTCTGTTACTAGGATCTAATCAGACAAGGGACGCGATCAATCACTGTTTTAGAAGTATTTTATTGTTGATGTTTAAGATGCATTTCGGACATACGCATGTTTGATCTGTATTATAATATAAGCCTTATAAATTCCAATAATTTAAAAATCTAAAATTAAAATATTCTACGTACAAACGCGCAATTTCTTCCAAGATATGGACTTAAAGTAATACAATATTATATAGATTTAAGATAAATCTTACATAAAAATCTAGTTACATATAAAATAATATAAAATCACATTTTTAAATTACCTGTATGACAGTGTTTAATTAAAAAGGAGAGTTACAGTTTGTTGTATTATAGTATCTGTTATATTCAATAAACATTGTAGATTGAAAATAATAATCTGTATAGAGAATAATAGCTTACAAGTTTAAATATTGCATAAAATGTGATAAAATAAAGCTATAGTTATTTTATTTTATTTAAAAAATTAAATTATATTTTAACTTTATAAACAGTTTCGGAGATTAAGAATGAAAAATAATTAGTATGCGTTCATCACTATATAAAATCGGTTAGCTGTATGTTAATAATTTTTTCATGTAACAATGTGTATATATTTATTTTCAGGATACCTTTTTATACAGGGATGAATGAGAAATGGTTACCATTCGATATAGTCCATAGAACTATAATGAATCTGACGCTAGGAAACATCCATTTGCAAAGAGATGAAGTAAAGGAAGAATGCCTTATATGGATGAAAGTATTTTGAATTGTTTTAAACAAAGCCACAATTGACTATAGATAGCACTCTTAATATTTAAATTAATTTCGAATTAAAATCCAACTTTACATCGACATTTTTTACTTTTATTCTTTAAATTAATAAAATATTAATTCAATTAGGCCTATTTAAATATTAAAATCGATTATAAATTTATTATTACTTAAACCATTTTTAATTATAATTATTACTTTTCTGCATTTTTATGGTTTTTAGTTACAGCTCTGAAATTGAACTTAAATTGAACACGAGCGGCTTCAAATTCTTTAACATTCTACAGATTTGATTAAAAGATCTTAATCTTTTAATCAAATGTTAAAGAATTTGAAGCCGCTCGTGTTCACAACGAGGAAACACCAGAAAAATGTATAAATTAGGGGAGATCGGGGCAACTTCGGCATGCGAGGCAAGTTTGTCAAGCGCTTTTTTTTAAAAACAAATTAAAAGGAGACTTTGGTTATAGGTTAGGCAGTTGAGTTTTATTGGTGGCTTGTTGAGTGTAGTGTTTTTATTGTTCTCCAACAAGCGTAGTTGAATTATCAAGCAAATTTTCATTTTCGTTGAATTCCATATAATATTTTTTTTCCATTTATATTGAATTGGCAGGTTTTGTTATAATTCCATGATAACGAAAGTTACTTTTCCTGTTAGAAGGATGTAACTTCAACTTATTCACGTGGCCAGATCGTGGCTTGGCATTCTGTTCTCAGGGTTGTACTTAATGTTTCGAAATCATGACTAGCGGGGTAAGATCGGCAACATAAAGCCACATTAGAAGCAAAGGATAAAAATCAAACAGATGATAAATGAAAACATGTTTGCATTTGTTATTCATGTATATATGTCTTTGAACTTGCATTTCGTTGTAATAATATTAAATGGGTGTTGGATTTGCATTTCTTTGTTTTAATAGTGAATTCCAACTTATACATTGTTAATAACATAATTTTATATACATGCCTATCTTGCCCCATTACTGTTGCCCCTATACCAGGGGCAACTTTAATAAAAATAATTAAAATAATTACAAGTTTACAAAAAGAGAGAAGTTGCCGATCTTGCCCCTATACCCGGGGCAACTTCGTCAATTTCTCTCTTCTTGTAAAGTTGTAATTATTTTAATTATTTTTATTTCCAAACTGATTTTAACCAGTTCTATAGTAAGGTAACATTCCAATAGACAATATGCAAAGCTTTTTTTTTCAGTTTACAGCAGTATTTATTACACAAAATTAAAGTAAAGCTTAACATGCCGATCTTGCCCCGATCTCCCCTATATTTTAGAAGACAGAAATAAATATATTTTTATGTTAATTCAACGTATACTAACGATTTGTTTCTAGGAATTCAGTTTTTGGTATTGTGTAACAACTTATTGTAGTTATACCACTTCCATATATAACGTAAATTAGGCCTATATGTTGATGAAAAAATGGTTAGATGACTCATTGATGAGAAATTACAAATTTAGGAAATTATATTTTAATGTAAGAAATAAAAATAAATATAATTGTTAAAATAATTGGGTGGTTGAGTGTCGTTGCACTTCATTTGCTTTTTATCTTATATTTTCTATTGTCTATACTCTAAATTAAAACCGATTGTACCTTATTCATTTACATAGAGTATTTTGAAAGATCGAAGTGGAAAAACCTTCAAGTCTACAATAATAATATTCACTCCTTATTTATGTCATTAAAAAGCCGTATAATTTGCATTTTACTAATTAAGCCTAGTGCAAACAAAAAAAAAGAAAAAAAAGAAAAATCTGACGGAAAGTATTTAAAGAAATTGCACGTAAATAATTCTAACCTTATCTTTAGCCTTATGTGAGGATCCAGAGGCTGTTTTTATATAAATTGTTAACGAAAAGAGAAGCGTTAGAAACTTTCCCCTTTTTCCGTCAGGTTATCACGGAGTAAAGCCTGGACTTCACATTACCGGAATCCGCGACGTAATCGTAAAACTGAAAGCCAAACTGACGAAACTTTCACTTTTGTAACGTTCAGTTGGACAGAAACAAGACTGAAAGCAGAGTTAAAAATTATTTAACTTTTCTGTTTTCATCCCGCGCTTCTGTCGTACTGCAACCAATAAAAATGCAAGGATTTGTGACGCGTAGTCACGTGCATTAGTCACGTGTAGTTTGATTGTCGTAATGGCGGAAAGTGTAGCGGAAACGATGAGGAAACAAATAGATTTGGAATTCTTCGTCGAAGAAGTTAGAAAATACAGATGTCTGTATGAGAAAAAAATGTAAATAATTCAAAGATTATTAACAATGAAATTGTTAATGCAGAGAAATCGTGGTAAAATCGTCCATGTTTGACTCTACAACAATTACAGAACTGATCAACAGATGGCGCATTTCTAGTGGTGTCAAGTTAAAACGAAAACATAACTGAAACGAAAACTCTATACGTTTCAGTTCTGTTTCTGAGTTTCTGTTTTCAGGTAATGTGGAGTCCAGGCTTAAGAACGGGTAAATATCAAATATTAACGTAATTGTTAACAAGTTCTTTCCCCTTTGCTTCGACCCACGAAAATGACGAAAATATGTTATAGCGTTCGACTGTCAAATGTGAGGAAGTTGATGATTAACGTAGTTTAAGGAGGAAATTTATAAACAATCGCTACCAATTGGTCACCTGATCAGATTCCCACACTCAGTGAACATATAACGCGAGCACAACCGACGTTAAGGACGGACATACTTAGAAGCCATAACTTACGGCTCCCAGCCGTATTAACATAATTATAGTCCCAAAAGATTACCTATATTTTTGTAGTGATCTGTGCACACGTTGACTTTCCCGGTCCTCCATAGATAATTTATCGTTGAACGACAGACAGCACTATTAAAGAGGTAAGAAAATTGTCAGATCGATTGTAAACTCTCTCTTTCGATCATGTAGCATTCGAGTTAGGTCCAGTATTAATAATTATAAACGCTTATAGTCTAGGTCATTGACCTCTAGCGTAGTACCGCATAGCTGTAATTATATCTTACGCCTTATTTTTCTTTTAAACTTACTATTTAGTATACCTGTCAACTTGTTATTATCCAGATAACGGTCCTCTATCGACTTACCCAAACGACCTTCCCACTCGAAACAATTAGCCCTCCTATTAAAAGTCCTTCAATGACAACGTGATCGATCTTCACTAGACTGTTGCCGTTAACAGGGGTTTAGAGTTCGGCTCTCTACTCCCCGTCTTCTCACACTTATATTAGGCGCATTGCAAAAGTTTAGGTCCACTCCTTTCAGTTAAGCAAACACAACACAAACACATCTAAAGAAACCAACACATACATTTATTTGTGAAGATAGCAGAAACATTTAAAAATAATATGACATCATTAAACTAGCATATTATTAGACGACTGTAAATGAATAAATACACAAAGTGAGATAATCCACGTGTTGCAAAAGTTTAGTTCTACCGTTTAAAATTGCATATTATCGTTCCGAAACCCCTTGTTTTTGCACCCCAATTTCAAAAACACAAGGAGGCATGTTGTCTAAAAGTCGCTGGAGCACATCTTGACTTATCTCGTCCCATACAGAGGTGATGGCTGTCTGCAGTTCTGCAACAATTGAAAAGTGACGTTCGTTGGCGTACACCGTCCTAGCGAGGATTCTCCAGAGGTTCTCCATGGGATTAAGGTCAGGGGAATTAGCAGGCCACTCCATTACATGCACACCATTGTCTAAGAACCACTCCCGTATAGTGTGTGCTACATGGATTAATGCGTTATCCAGTTGGAATGTCCAGAATGAACTTCCAACCCTCTCTCCAAATGCCGTGAGGTGCACATCCAACAGTTCTGGTAGTGTCTGGCCTTCATATGCCCACTCGGAAATGTGCTGTTAGTCTTCTCGTTGTATCCGAATCCGGCCAGACCATTACTGATCTTCCTCCTATTTGGTGTATGGAAAAATCTTCTTGTCCTCTTTGATGTCATGCTAGTAGTAACACCAGCCATCAGAACCATCTAAATTAATCTTCTTTTTGTCGCTGAATACTACTCGTCTCTATTCTGCATTCCAATTTGAATGTTCTCTAGCCCATTTTACCTGTGCTATCTTATAGTCTGGTGTTAATCTGTGCTGAGGTTTCTTCTTCTTGTACAGCAGTCGTCCGTTAAGCCTTATAGCTCTTGATAGAGTTGACATGAACGTTAACCATTAGGGTGTTTACGATTTGTCGAAAATGACGTTCATTGAGTACTCATGGACGTCTTGAACAGGGTTTTTGGTTGTAATCTCTTGGTTACATACATAATTGTTCACCACGTTATGTGACCGATTAATTAATCCGTTTTGCTATGGCCCTGTTGAACAGCCCTTGCTGCTTTAATGCATCAATCGTGCCTCTCTCATAGGCGGATAAAATCTTGCAGGTTCATATCATTATTATTTCCTGGGGATGTGGTGAAACTAAACTTTTGCAACACATGGATTAGCTCACTTTGTGTTTATGCATTTACAGTTTTCTAATAATTTGCTATTTTAATGATGTCGTATTATTTTTACATGTTTCTGCTACTTACACAAATAAATGTATGCGTTGGTTTCTTTAGATGTGTTTGTGTTATGTTTGCTTAACTGAATGGAGTGGACCCGAAAGTTTTGCAACGCACCTTATAGAGCAGGTGTCTGTACTACGAGTTTATGTTATAGTTTAATGCATATAAATGTTTTTTACGACTCATTTAACAGCAAATTAAGTAAAAAAATGGCCTTAAAATTTATTTTATAGTTAAATTACCAGTATTTATCATTTTCATACCAAATTCTATAATTAAAAGTACTAAATATGATTTGTCATTTAAGGTTACCATTTATGGATTATTTATTTAAAAATATTGTAATGTTGTACGTATACATAACAATTTTCTTGAAATTTTCAGGTAGATCGAAGCGCAGTGAAATGAAGTTACATATGACACAATCGGAAGTAGATTGGCGTCACGGAAGACGAACGATGGGGATTTTCCGGTTTTCCTGGTTAAAGTA